AAAAAAAGAAAACCATTTTAAAAAAAGCGTCGCTCGTAACCCTAGAATATGTTAATGCCAGGAGATACAAATCTGGTAATTATGCCTTTCCCGCGGTTGTGTTCTCCATTGTTCATTAAACATTAAAGACGGGATTCTTTAATTTTCCGCTAAGGATTCTCTCGCGCCCCGCGGAATTCATACTAATTTTCGATCATTTTGCTTTTTGCCGGAAAGGCGATGTTTGATTTTATAGTGCTGTCCAAGAGCTGCTCTTACATGTAAATATCGCGGCGTAAGAAAGGCACTTTTAAGATATCTTAAGAAAGGTTTTCAAGAAATCGTGAGCTACTGGGACAAACTACTAGACCCTGAGCATTAGAAAGCGCGAAACTTTAGGGAGAAAATGCTGCCTGGGCAACAACAACAGATCCCTTCAGAAGGTGACTGGATGAAAATTGACACATTTCTAGTATCGCTGCAATTGGAAAAAAAAATGCCCGTGCGAGGTTAAAGTGCGTCCTCTCTCATTCCGGGCATCTGTTTCAGAGTGTTTCAGTCACACGAGGCAGTTGAGCCGATTCACCGAAACCGAGTGGGCAGCCCCGGAGCTCTGCTTTTGACAGAGAAACCCCAAGTCCGGCTCTCTCCTCGCAACTGCGGTGCCTGGAGGTTACTTTAACACCCGCAGATGCTCGCTTTCACCTGAAGTCTGTGTATAATATATAGCAGCGCGCACACACGTACGTAGACACACATATCGTGCTATGCGTGTGCACTATGTGCAATAAATCCTTCTCCCGACAGGAAAAAAAATAAATGGGCTCGTCCCCTCCCACTTCATATTAGAAAATTACATCAGATTTCACCCATCAAGATCGTCTCCAGATATTGGAGATTGGACTCTGCGAGTACGGCAAAACTTTCAGTAAGGGGTGGGGGGAGGAGCAGAGAAAAGATACATTAGAATTTCTGTACGGTGGGGAGAAAAAAAGGATTTTAATTAGAAAGAAAGCGGGCAATCATAGCAAGGGGTCATCTTGCTAAACGAAGGATAAAAAGGCGAATTCGTGCAATGTGTAACAGGCATTTATTCGGCATTTTAATAATGTTGCTCTTAGTTACCTTGTCTTTTTTTTTTTTTAACGAATACTTGTGAGTCAGGGGTAGTGCATATCGAGATAGTGTGCATATCAGCACGCTATCCCGAGTGGCCTAAACTGTCCCCTTTAACTTTATTTGGTTTGCCTGTAAACACAGGAGCGGGGAATAAACCCAAAGCCCAGCGAGGCGGTACCGCGGCGCACGAGATAACGCGGGGCTATCGGCGAGGGAAGTTTACATGGAGGAGTCTCCCGAAGAAGCCGCTGCTGGAGCGTTTTAAGGACTGGGGCTGGATTACGCAGGGCGAGGCGGGAGGGGGGATTTAGGAGGAAATCCCTTTCGCTGATCCTCGCCGTGGCCCCCGCGGCCGCGGATGGGCGAGCAGAGCCCGCGGGGCCGACGCCGGTGACAGGGGCAGAGAAGGGAAAGCGGCGCACACGTGGGGACGCGCACACGCGGGGACACGCACGGAGTTGCCCGCCCGGGCAGCGCGATCGGCGACGGCGCGCCCCCTGCCGTGGGAGCCCGGTCCGGCCCGGCCCGGCCCGGCCCGACAGAGGGGGAGCAGCGACCTGTGGCCGGAGCCGGGGAGGCTCCGTGGCGCTGCCCCCGGGGCAAGGCGGGACGCGGCTCCCGAGCAACTTGTACTGCGGTAGCTGGGGAAGCGGGAGCGGGGGAGACTCCCCTTCCCCGCTCTGCTTAGGGAAAAAATAAAATACAACAAATAAAGGGGGGAGGGTGCGGGGGGGTTGATCCTACGAGAAAGCTGCTGCTGGGAGAGCGCGGGGAGCGGAGCGCGGCGCGGAGCTGACGAGGAGGAGGAGAGTAGGAGGAGCCGCCGTGTGACCCGCACCGCTCCCAAACTTGAAAGTTTATCTGCCCGAAATCAAGAGGCGCCGCGGCGCGCGCGGCTCCTCGGCGCGGAGCGCGGGCATCGACCGCAGGGAGCCGGGGGCGGCCGCGAGGAAGGCGAGGGAGAGGGGGGGGGGGAATTACCCCCCCTCGCCCCCCAACAGCAGCAGCAGCCACCCCCACCCTCCCCAAAAAGCAAGCGAGCAGCCTGGCAGAGGATCGGTACTGTTTGCCGGAGAGCCGAGGACTTGCGCGCCCGCGATGCTGCTGTCACAGGACGCAGGACAGTGAGCGGGGCAGGGGGCCGAGGCAAAACAAGAGTCACCGCAACCTGAAGGCTCCCAAAGAAAGGAAAAAAGAAAAAAGAAAAAAAAAACTTCCTACCCCTGGACAACAGGAAGTGACCACCAGCACCAGCAGCACCGGGGAGCCTCTGCTCGGAGAGAGAAGCTGCAAGACAAAGAGGAGGGGAGGAGAGGTGAAAGACCAAAGTGCTCCGGGTCTGCGGTGCGTGCGGGCGCTTGCAGGGGAACAGAACAAAAGTCAGCGGGCAGGGGAGGAAGGAAAAGAGCGGCAGAAAAAAAATAATAAAAGGAGACGGGATGAAGGAAGAGCTCAAGGCGAGCATGTGAAGATCGAGGGGAAAGAGAAGACCAACGCACCCCGAGAAGGAGGAGGAGAAACACTGAAGTTTCCTTTCTTCCCGCGAAGAAATTACTCACACGCACACAGAAAGCGCCTGCCTCGTAGATCAACTTCTGGAGAAAAAATAGAGACCAGTAGAGAAGCGCACGCAGAGTGATGTGAGGAGAGAAGGGGGGAAAAAAGAGAGACAGAGAGAGAAAACATCAGCAGAAGAAAGCAGAGCAACAGAAACTAAGTGGGGGGGCGGAAGGAGGGCAGCGGGCGGGGAGCGCGGCCTCCCCCGGCCACGGAACCTCGCACATATGTTGTGCGCAGCGCGCGCGGAGCGGAGCGGA